CCCCAAAACCCCAAAACCCCAAAACCCCGAAAGGATAAATTTATTAGAGTCATTAAATTATCAATAAATGAAAGAGAAATTAATTTAACATTTTAGATTAAAATGAAATCAGAAAAAATTATTCAAAGATGGTTAAACTTAGTTCCTTTAATCTTTCTTCTTCTAATCAATCTCAATCTGAAATAATGCTAAAATTGTTACTATAAATTTCCAAGGGCCTTTGGAGATGGTACGGAGGATTCTTATCTTTTCATTATAGATGTAGATTAAAATTAAAACATTATTATGGGAGGTTATTCAAGTATAACATAAATTGACACCTCAAACTCTGGAAATTATTATCCGATACTTTTTTATATCTCAAATGATGGCTACTATGAGTGGGCAAAATACATTGATTCATTATAGCTTGGTATTGAAACAGTCACATTTACAACTGATACAAAAACATCTGTAAACATTCTTGCCACTCTCTATGATTATACTCTTGAATATTACATCTTTCTAATTGTTTCCAGCTCAGCTGGGGAGATTATTTAGATGTTTTATGAATCTAGTGGGAAGATTAATGATATTTATAATAATGCAGCTGCTTTAAGTGCTGATAATTAAATATTCATTAATGCTCATCAAACACTTGATAAGTTCCTAATTTTTAGTATGACTTCTTCAGGAGGTGGCAGGTTTTCACCTTCATGGATATTTACTGAGGCTTCTTCCTTGAGTTCTGAATATTCCCAGGGTGCTTCATTAAGCCTTTTTCCAGATAAATATCTCTTAATAGAATTTTAGATAATCTTTTATAAAAACTATGAATATACCACCTATCAAGTTTTGAGCAAGATGAGTAGGGATACAGGCGACTTAATTTATTAGATAGGAGTAGAAAGAGCCACATCTCAGAATTATAATTCAATTTCAATTAGGAACTAAGACATTCAAACATTTCCGGATTTTGATCTCATTTGTGGTTGTGGCTAAGTAAAAAATTCGAGAATCGCACCGAAAATTTCTTAGAATTAAATTTATTTCGTTAAGATGAAAGCTGATAATAGAATTGATGATTAAAGAAATATTGATCTAAGTGGGTACAATTCATGCAATGATGTTTCAATTGAAAGTAGCAGTTCATTATATGTATTAATCAACGATCAGTCTACTTATCACATGAATCTTTACTATTTTGATTTTTCAAATTTGATCTCTGCAACAATAAAGTAATAGACTTTCTGGTTTAAAGATTTCAGTGATATATATAGAGGAAAGATTGATAACTATTTTAATCCTTACTACGTTGGAGATATTTTTAACTCACTTATTTCCTCAGAGTATTATCAAGGATTCCTCACCTCTATGAATGTAGATTAATCGTGTTCTTCTCTTGATACTGGACCAACTACTACTACTTTTACAAGTGCTTTCTCATCTTCCTCATTTTCACTTGTTACTTTTGATATGGAGTCCACTACTTTAACTTTAAATGATAGAAGTGATGTTTAATTAAAAGAAATATTTTTAGAAACAGTAAAACATGAAATTGGTGCATTTTGCAGTGTTAATTCCATTTAAACTATAGATTTAACAACTACATATTCAATCAATCACATCATTTAAGATGGTGATTTTTCTCTAAGTTTCAAGTCACTCTTTGATGGTGATCTAAGCTGTAATGATATTTCAAGAAAATACACCATCACATTAAATGAGATGAACTAAGTTAATTTTATATTTGATGAAATTGATAAACTTTCTTGCTCTTAAGATAAACTTGTAAAATCAGTTAATTCTGTTTAGGTTAAAGTTGAGATTCCAAATGGATCAACAACGACATTGTAAATAGACATAGATGTCATTGATTGCTCTCTAGATTAGTATACTCTTGAATTCTCTATAGGCTCATTGATTTATACCATTAAAGAACATCCTTAGATTATTTCCCTTTCAGATTTTACTCAGACCTATTCACAATGTGCTAAGCCCTTGATTTATCTTAGAGAAGATGATAATATTTTGAAACCATCAAATCTAATTTCACTCACTCAATCCGATTTCGTGATGACAATTTCTTCGAGTAATCTTATATCAGTAGGAGAATATGCACTTTCAATTATTTTTCCAAACAAATACAATTCTAATAATGATTAATTCTAGAAATTTACTTTAAAAGTTCTCTGTTAAGTTAAAATTTATACTAGTTATGCTGGAACCAAAATTTTTACTTATATGCTTGACTAGGAAGCAATAAAAATAAGCTTTACTCAAAATTTATATGAAAATGATTGTGGCTACACAAATTCTTACTCAGCATTCATATCAAATTAAAATAGTTTACCAACTTTCATTTAGTATGATAGTGACTTTAATGTTTTTACAGTTGAAACAGATTCAATCTAAAATTTAGGGACCTATGAAATAACAATTAAGACTATTTTAAATGATCTAGATTAAACTTTTTCCGAAAGTTTTAAGTGGAATTTGAATGTTATTAAAGATTATTCATAGGGGTAAAATTTATATTCACCATAATTTGAAGAAGATTTGAAGCCAATTGAAGTGAGATTAGGTTAAAGTTATGTGTATAATTTCCCTAAAATAATAGATTTAGATGGTGATTCGTTTGAAGTGAAAGTAAAATAAAATATATTTTATGATTTTATAAGAGTAGATTCGAGTAAAATTACAATTACTCCGGGTGATAATGTTGAACCTGGATTATATGTAGTAGATATTAAAGTTATTGATAATGGATAACCTCCACTTGATAACTCTTATAAGATTCAGGTACACATTTTAGATGATGAAGCCAGTGAAGATCAAGAAGATAATGAAAATTAGGATGATGATTAGAATGAATAGGATAGTGAGACTGATTATGATAATTAATAATAAGAGGAAATGACAAACTAATTTAAAAATCTATTCTAAGCTTTTGTTGCTAAATAAAATATGAATGGTGAGATTTTTATAAAAATTAATGATCAATTCAAATTCAACTAAGAAGCTGGTAGGTTTATTGACCTTTACATACTGGTATAATTGAAGTCTGAAATGCACAGTCCATAAGAACTTTAGAATTGGAAAATATAATCATATCAAAATAATGAAATATAAATAAAGCTAGATTTTAAAAACCCTTAAATAATTGCTTAAAGAAGTGTAAAATTATATCAGTTATTTTATATTGATTTAGGCAAGAGATAAATTAGTTATAACCTTTCAAAGCTTAAGATTTTAAAGAAATTTGTAATAAGAATAAATTGGCACCACCGAAAGTGATAGTGACGATTAAAATTCAAATAATTAGAAAATAAACAATACTGATGAAAAAGCAGAAGAAACTAATAAGAACAGCGAAGTTTTTATTCTTGAATGCATGCTTCCTAAATAAGTTTCCAAAGGTACTTTATTGAATGTTTTGTTAATTATTTCAGATGAAGCTTAGATCATTAGTAATGTTGGAAGTAATATTTAAAATATAGTTAAGGCAAATTTCTTTAGTGCTCTAATCTTTCAATTCTTTTTGTAAAATATCCAGTGCTATAACTGATAGATAATAGGTGCTATCCATAATTTGGAGTGCAATTAACAACCTACAACTGATAGTTCATTTACCCTTGTTTGACATTGATTTCCCAGCAAACGCATACTATTTAATAACCTATCTAATTAATTTGACGAATGTTAGAATCCTGCCAGAAAATTAGATATTCAATTTCAGTGAAAATCTTAATAGATACTAGAATAACTTTGAGATATAATTAGATGCATTCTTCTAACTTTTAGGCTATGAGACTTTGCTGATCTTAATTTAGTTTAAGGATTTCCTCGTTTTGCTGACAATTGGTCTAGTTTTTATAGCTTTTGACAAATCTGTTTAGTTAATTATAAGAGAGAAATTTATGAGATAATTTATTAAAAATGATTCAAAATGGTTTTATTACCTTTCCTGCTTATATAAAATAATTCAAGGAAAATTTTACTACAGTTGGTTCTTAAGATTAATGATTGAGGGGTATCTCAGTATAAATGTCATATTATTTAAACTAATTGATTCATTTTATACAACTGATGATATTTACTTGAATATCAACATTGCAATGTCATTAGCTCTTACAATATTCTAATGCCTAGCACCAATAGGTGTATTCTACATGATTATCAACAATTTTAAGAAATTGAACGAAAAAGTATTTAGTGAGAAATATTCAACCCTTTATGAGAATATGAACACTAAGAAAAAACTGTTTGCTTATTATTTGCAAATCTTCTTGATTAGAAGAATAATATTTGCTCTTTGCATAAGTTTATTTGGTAATTGCTTCTATTAATATTTTTCCAAATAATGTCTACTCTTATGATTATAATGTATCTCTTTCATGTTAAGCCCCTAGAAGAGCATTATATGAATGTTATGGAAATTATTAATGAAATTTATTTCTTGACATGCTAATATATGTGCTTGCTATTTACTGATTTTACATTAACTCTAGAGATTAAGAATGATTTAGGCTGGGTTTTCTGTGGTCTTATTATATCTAATATTCTACTTAATTTCATGGTATTAATCTTTGTAGTTGGTGCATAGATCTATTAATATGCTAAAAGGAAAATCTTTGAAATAAAGCGTTAAAGATTAGAAGTTATGCTAAAGAAGAAAGTTGTTAGAATAATGTGTGAAAAAGCAGCTTAATAAACTACTATGAATACTTAGATTGATTTAAGAATAAAAGATAGTTAGTTATAAGACATCTATGAAGATGATTTTATGATACATAAAGATAGCTCACAGAATCATTAAACTGTAAATCCTATATCCTAAATTGAATTCTATCGACCTGATTACTCTATAAGTCAGGGGGAAGATAAAACATTTTCTTCAGGCATGCATATATAATACTATGATTTTGAAATGAAAGAAGAATAAAAAAAGGAGGAAAATCTAGTCAATAGAAACCAAATAGATGAGACTATCCATTTGAACTTATCGAGGCAGGATTTACTTCCATTCATCGCTAGTAGAGCTAAAAATATTGTGAAAGTCCAATCAGCCAGTAAAAGTAATTCAAAGAGAAAAAAAAACATTTAAGCGAGCTATAATAAGTTTATTAGTAAATTCTGATTTCAAATTATAGTAGAATGTTTTGAATTAGATTTCAGGTTATTAAAATTATTTTAGAAAACTTTATGATTTATATGATTTCACATGCTTGGGGTTTTGGGGTTTTGGGGAGATCGGAAGAGCGTCGTGTAGG